TCCATATCGACATTGTTGGCCCTCTTCCTGAGAGTTACGGCTATCATTATCTCCTCACGATGATTGATAGGTTTTCTCGCTGGCTAAATGCAGTTTCTCTTGTGGAAATTTCCACTGCTACTGTAGCACATACATTCTACGACACTTGGATATCTCGTTTCGCCGCTCCTGCTGTCGTTACAACCGATCAAGACGCGCAATTCTTCTCGAGATTTTTCTCAATTCTTCTCGAGTTACTCGGATATCAACGCATCCGTACTTCAGCTTATCACTTTGCTTTCAATGGAATGGTGGTGCGGTGGCACCGCTCACTCAAAGCTGCACTCATGTGCCAGGCTGGCAACAACCAGTGGTCTCGTAGTCTTTCCACGGTCCTTCTCGGTCTCCGTACACATGTACACCTCAACACCGATGCCAGCCTAGCTGATTTTGTCTATGGCACTGCTTTGAGATTGCCAGGAGAATTCTGTGCTTTTGGTGAATTCTAACCCGCACAATTTCCTTGAGGAGTTTCGCGAATACATTCAACAGATTCAACCTGTTCCAGTCGCCCACAAAAACGCGACGAAACCGTTTGTATTCAAGGAGCTTTACTCTTGCTCTCATATGTTCGTCTTGCTCAAGGTAAGCAAACCACCTCTCGAGAGACCGTACCCCGGTCCTCACAAGGTCATTTCTTGCAACCTTAAGTCTCGTACTTTCACCATTGCCCATTTCGGTAAACCGAAAGTCGTCTCAGCTGAGCTTCTTAAACTAGCTCATTTCCTCTCGGAAGACCTTTCCGAACAGAAAACCGACTCACAGGATCCTAAACCCGATCCTTCTTCTTTGGTAATTCCTTCCAAAGCTGTCGTAGCAAGCGAACCCGTCTCACCCCGAGATTTTCCGCGTCCGCAGCTACCCGATGGCACACCGGGTCGAAGCAGGAATGATTCTGACCGATCGCCCGCGAGTGTGCGACGCTCGCGCGATATAATCGGATCGCGAAACGCGAATCTTGACGAACCTCAGCCGTCGTGTTCATGTGCGCCGCCGACTCAACCGAAACTTCCTCGACCTATTCTTACAACTTATCCCTCACCTAGAGATAAAGGTAGGAATAAGGTTAAATTCTCTAACACGATTGATATCCATTTAGTCAGTATGTACATCCGTCAACTTTCGGGCCATGGATCCAATCAACGATCTCATCAATGAGATAGAGATTTACAAGCTGACGCCAACAAGTTCTGCCGCCAGGAAGGACTGTTTCCTTGCAGACTTGTTTCTTTAAGAATGTATATTCTACATTTCTTCGTAATTATGTATGCGTTTTCTATAATGTTTAGAGTAAGCGTTCTTTATGTAATTACTATTTTGGGTCCACGATGCCTTGTACGTCTCATTGTTCTGACACTAATCGCTTGTATTACATTGTATAAGTGTCTCTCTCTGTAGTCAAATGACGACCCAAAAACGCTTGCTCATCATTGGGGGGGGGGGGGGGGGGCGGAGGCACGTCCCTGCCTCCGAATATCGGGTGGCGCGTGCGCGCCCCACTACTCAGAGAGAGTGTTCCGGCGTAGCTAGAGAGGCACTGAAGCACATATCAGTGTGCAGAGAGAGAGTCTCCTGCCGGCATGCATCTTGCATGCGTGTCTCCACACGCTCGTTACACAGTTAAATATATATTATTCATTACTAAATATGAGTGTTATTTAACCACCAGCTCAGAACACGGCAGTTTATATAGGCCTACCTGTTACGGCGCGTAACGCGAATCCGCGTTGTGATCGCGTTTTGTAACTGCCGCTGACCGTGTCACAACTTAATGCTACACGATCTAGTTAGTTATGAATATGGTACCTTTGTTATTGAAATGAGTAAGAAAACACCACTCCTGAATACACATTTATTGTAGTAACTATACGCAAAAATGTACATTTACAATACACAACTCAGAGCTCCGAACCCTTCGGGAGTCGAAATCAATCTGGTTCTCAAGCAGAACCTCTCCCCTTTCTAACCCGGCAGGCCGGAAACAAAACATCGCGCGATGTATATCTCTCAAAAGGTCATGCCGCTCGCAAACAATGCCATGCCCCTTCATTGCCTATCTTGCGACGCAACACTGCCTATCCCAACAAAGCCTATAACAGGTCATGCAACAGTATTAAGCACGTGGTTATGGCACGGTGTAACTTTTTCTTTAAGATCACAGCAATTTTGTGGTGGGGGTAGCGTAGTCAATCCACCTATCTTTCTTACACCGTGTTTTGGACACTCATATTATTAAACATCGACACAATCTCGTTAAACTATGAAAATAGCCCATTGCTTTGGACCTTCTTCTTTCGAATGAGCCCTCATTTTATCCAAAATATACTCATATAAGGACACCAAACGTCAGGCCGCAAACCCATATTTCGGGCCAAATTTTGTCGGTATATAGCGCGCTGTATTACCCGTGTTTACCCCCTTAATGGCCGCCCGCGGCGACGACAGTGATGGTGGTGCGTACCCTTTTTGGGATTCAATGTTCTTCTGGGTGTTTGCGCCAGACGCTCGCCTGGGTCTTTCACTCTTTTTTTTTACTATTATTATTATTATTGTGGGGAAACCAGAATATGCAATGCATTACGCACACCTCGGCCTCCCCGAGGGAGAAACTGAGGTTATGTGGGACTACCATCAAGGATGGGAGCGCCTGTCCCCGACGGCTACCCACCAAAATCCCACACCCGCCTAAGCTACATGGGAAGTGCCAGCCCGGTGACCCCGTCTCTGGGGCCGGAGAAATGAGTTTCCCGAGCCTCTGCTCGTTCCAACCGTAGTCTCCGGAGTCTTCGTGCCCGGCTTGTTTCTGGTGACCCAAAGACCACCACTCGGTCAGGGCAAGACAACGCCGACACTGGCAAGGGAGGGTCGTCGAAGGCGTGATCCAGAACGCCTTGACTGGAGAGAGGACGACCACACGAGGACGGCCCGTCCCTGTCGGGGTCAGCAGATCAGCTCACGCTCCGACCCCCTTTAGACTTTCCTGCGCGAGGAGTTGACACTTTCAAGTGGACGTTGTTCATGCTCGCCACCCGAACTTACATAGAGGAGTATCCGGCTTTAGCGCGTAGCCTTTGCTACCGCGGGCGTTCCAAGGTATACGCGCGCTCTGATTGCTCGGGGTTTTTTGTTAATATTTTCTTAACGAAACCGCGGACAACATTTTCGCTAAGGAACTCCCTCGAATGGGTGACAGGTGTCTGATATCAGATTTCCTCCACGTAAAAAAAAAAAAATTAACTGAGCGTCGAAGTGACGATGACCAGATTTCCAATCTTTACCACATTATGACACATACATTATCTTTAAATAATTGTCAATTGTATATTTTTAAAAAGTAATTTGTTAATTAGGGATAAGGAAAACTTTTACAATGTTGAAGGCTTTATTTTATATAATATAAAGATTGAATTTACGTGTAATATTAGATAATGAAAAGTTAAATTCACGAATAAAATATATATAAAATTCCATGCAAATTTTTCTACTCATAATAGAAAATATCAAATATTCGTATACAAATGATTGATTTGAATTTTTACAAAAATAAATAGCAAAAAATTATACATGTGTGTACAAAAAATTAGATGTTACATAAACATACTTGAACTGTGTTATGTTGCTTTTATATGTCTCATAATAACTAAAAATAGCATCGAGGACACCGCCAATTATTTATCATAAGTCTAGCAAATTATTTCGTGATTCATTTATTATTGGCATACAAATTTTCATATTCCATACGCCGAAAAATAATCAACACAAATCTGATGTAGTTTAAAAGTATAGAATGATACGGAAAAATGTTTACAAAAATATTGTTTACTTTATTACATAGGATAAGCAACTGTTAATACCATTTATTACAACATTGAGACACCTTTTCAGTCTAAAATAGTTTACCTACTTTTGTATAACATACATGCTGATTTTTTTTATATACCGCATCTGTATAATAGCTATGGTGTATATGACCTTATATACAATTAATATTGTTATGAAATTTATTGTAAAATTATATTAGTGTATCAGAAATAACAACATTGTCCAGATTAAATTAACGAGTAGCATTAAGTATCTTCATTCCTGTTTATGCAAACAAAAATCTTCAAATTTTTAGATTTGCATTGAAAACATACTTTTGAAATATTTGAGTACATTCAATTTTAAATATAATCATTTTATAATTTACAGATTTTTGTCGATGTAGAACCAAAATAAATCATACAAAAGATATTACTTTTAAAACATGGTAATCGCAAACTATAATTTAAACATTTTACATACTTTTCAATATAGAAAAAATATGTATAAAAGATAATATAATCATTATACCTAAATACAGACATTCATTGTGCGTATAGATTACTTTTCTTTTCTTTAAAGCGTATATTCAATATTATAATATTAATATCAAAGGTCCAGGAACATTGGTTCTACTAATAGTAGCATGAAAAGATATGTAATCTAATTCATTAAAACAACCAATCTCGTGTACTTTAGAGTCATATTGAGTTTGTCAAACTCTAATGACAGTTTGAAATGTATATCTAGTGCAATATTCATCTACAAAATATATAAATTATTCTTGTTTAGTGTTTTTATATTTAATTACGCTAAATTATTTTAAAATGCATGGATTTGAGCAAACAAATTTATTCAACTTTTACCATATCGATCATTCTAAAACTGAAGAAAGTAAAAATTGCATTCTAGGAAACATTGCAAATAATTTATAAAAATATTTTGTCAAATATTGAAAGTATGTTACACTATTTATAAGGATAAAAAATGGATATAAAATTATTTTTTAGACTTCAGTGGTTTAGATTTTTCATTTAAAAGTATTTCAAGCAACTTAGTAGAGAAAACTTCCTAATTTGCTAAGTTTTGATTGTAGATTGATGTTATACAATTTAACACATTAAGGATCGCTCACGAGTTTTCTCGTGTTTCGTCCCGTGCTTTCTACACGCTGTCTTTAGATGTCACCTAGTTTGATACATTGCATCTACTTTGTCTATTTAAGTATTTACATCAATAGTCAATGTATTAAACTCGATTGCCTTCATGTTTTTTTTTCACTTATTTCCCGGTGCTTCACGCTTTCATAGACTACCTGGCCCGACCGCCAACGCGGGCCGTTACTAGTACAAATTTATTTTTTAAATAAAAAAGTTATGATTATTATTAAAAACATAATTTTTTTCAATAATACCTAAAATGCATCTTATTTTACAATTTCTGAAAGTTTCACAAAAATTGCTTCATAAATAATTAAATTACGATGAGTTTAGTAATATTCCAGTTTGCCCAAAAACGTGTGGTCTTAGGCGTATGTCTTACAGATTTCTTAGCGGTCCTTAATGTGTTGACAGTTTAGAAATGCTTTAAAGAATTGCTAAAAATAAAACACAATACTTTAAGATTATGTTGTATCTCTCTTGTGGATATCAGCTCAATTACTTTTTCTAGCAACTTTGATTTTCAAAATTTAATATAAGTTTGTAGAACAACTTGTATTATATGTTGCTTTAAACTAATTGTAAAAGTTATTTTGAAATATTTATAAAAATGTAAACAGACAGTGATACATTTCAAGACAATTATTGTTTTTAATTCAAAGTTCCTAGTTTTTATTCTTTCCCTCTTTATTATTATTCTAGTTTCCCCATTAAACACAAAATATGTGGTACTAAAAAAATCTAGATAACGTTATATTACTAGATATTAACTTAAAGTTTAAACCAGATTATTTATGATACAATTTGTCTCTTGAAATGTGTTAAATGGGATCAAATTGAAGACACTAACAGTCTTGTACCTTTTTATCTTTTATATACAAAAATAAAAAGACTTGAAAAAATTTAAGTTTTATAATCACAGCGCTTATTAATATTTTCAACAGTAGTTAGTTAGTTCCAATACTTCATGGAAATCCATTGTTTTTATAATTATGTTCAATTTCTAAACGGTATATACTTTCAAATAGATAAGTTATCCATGCAAATATTATGCGTTTCACATAAAAGTATGTTACTAAATAACTGATTTGATAACAATGCAATTATATAATTCTAATGTGATGTATACATGTAATTCCTTTGCACTCTGTCTTTTTTAATTAGAAATAAATATTTACATTTGATTTTCAAATAGTGGATCATACTTTTTAGTACATAAAATATTCAGAAAATAATAAATAACCTACATTGTGATTGTTACGAATAATTAAAAATGAGCATGCAAAGAATTAACGCTTTTAAAGTTTGAATCTATTATATCAAAGTTTTCACTTTATATAAATCTCGCAGCGCGGAAAAATAAAGGATTAAATATTGTTTGTGATATTACATTAATAATATCGGTATATGATTCTAGAATTGATGACCTTATAGATAAACGAAAAATCACAACCGGCAAGTAGCCAATTACATACTAGTAACAAAAATATGTTTAATGTTATAATAAATTATGCCATGTCTGGCTTCAGGAAGTTTATAACAGCATACGACCTAGCTATCAGAATGTAAAATCCTCTAAGTTTGTAGAAAAAGTAGAGAAATTATTTCTTACATCCCCTATCAAGTAAGTAGTATCAATTAACGAACAAAATGTATGCGTATGATACTACTTGATTAAAAAAATAATTACTTATTTTTAGATAATGATGCAAAATTCATTGAAAGACCAAATTTGTTACACGATTTTATAAATATTGCAAGAGATTCATGCAATAAGAAAAATCGTAAAGGTACAAATACCTTAATTCCATTAGCAGAATTTAGTCTCTCAGCTAAGTAAAATAATAAGATTTAAGAATTCCGATAACAAAGTAGCCGCAATTGATCACAGAGGGCATTCTAAAAAGTCTAATAATTATACTTGTCCACCGCTTGAAGGCCTCTCCCAACAACACAGCCATCTGCGCCATAATGATAAAGGTTTCCTACGTCTATATAATAAACTAGCACCACCTCGTCTTGTGTTAAGAGCGCTAACTATCGCTTGATCAAATGCCTCTTTAAGGTCATGTTGAGTTAATGCAGACGTCTCTACATAACTTACAGCACCTACTCTCTGAGCCAATTGATGCCCTTTAGTAGTTGTAATTGGTGTTTGGCCATATCTTTCTAATTGTAACGTTAGATGTACATCTGCCCTTAAATCGCTCTTGGTGCCTACCTGAAATCACCATTGTCACTATCTCAACTTAAGTTGTACTATATGTAGTTTAGAAATACTTAATTTCCTTGAAACTTCTTAATAACTTTGAATGAAAACAATGTACTGTGACCAAACAAGCAAGCTGTATGTAATTTTGTAATAACTATAAAAAGTAAATAGTTTCATTACCAAGATAATAGGTGCATTTGGGCAGTATTTTCGTATTTCATTTATCCAACGTGATGATACGCTATGGTAAGAAGAAGGGCATACGACACTAAAGCAGACTAAGAACACATCTGTTTCTGGATAACACAATGATCGCAAAGGATCAAAGTCATCTTGTCCTGCTGTATCGCATAGCTGAATATTTACTGGTTGGCCATCAACATTAACAACCACTATAACAGATTAAAATTATATTACACAAAGTTTAATTTCATATATTAATTAAATATGTTAACATATATTATTTAATTAAAAGCAATACCCAATTGTAAACAAAAAGTTTATATAGATTTACTATTTTATTACTTTTTAAGTTCTTTTTTACAACAAAAAAATAACTTACATAAGATTACATAGATAACAGGAGAAAAATGGAGATTTTCATAATATTACACTTCTTGCGTAGAATAGTATTTGTACAACTAATCAGAATATAGATATATAAAATTCTAATACTTGTAATAAAAAGATAAAATTGTTATTAAATATTGTCACAATTCATTTTTCAATTTTTATAAAAAGCAATATAAAATGAAAGAACACTACTGATACATTTTAACTATGGATGAACGCAGGTAATTTTATAATAGATAAAGATTATAGATACAGTTAATAATGAAATGGCCAGTAGTTAAAATAAATTTCAAATATACTTTTGTGTTCTTTCATGGGAAAACTGAACACAGCTAAAAACAATACATACTGGATGCCATTAATAAATTACTATCAAATAAAATTCAACGTTGTTATGATTATTACTTAAAATTTATCTCACTGTCAAACATTGGTCTTACAACTAACATTTAAGTGTCACACTAACCATTATAATTATCGAAAGCAGTGGGCACATATTCTCCAGGGAAATCATTCGTTGAATAAGAAACAACGAGGCTGGTCTTTCCAACAGCACCATCGCCTACCAGAACGACTTTAATTCTCCTGTCGAGCGGAATACCACTGTGTTCTGTACCACTACCGTTTGAATTTTGATTTTGTGTCGTGCATGTTGTTCGTTTCGCTTGCATCTGCATCGTTTGTCTATTCTTCAGAAGAGGCTTCGTCCAATTCGTATGGGACGACGGCGGCATTATTTCGCTGTTTGTTTTACCACAGCTACGAGCTTTCATACGTATATCACTGACAAAAATATTGTACGTATAACCTCTACCTGTTCCACGGGCAACGATGCAATTAATTGCATCTATCACGACGTATTTCTCCTTGGAATCATTATTTCTCTCGTTTCCCCTGCTGACACTTGTTGGCTCGCACGATCGCGGATCAAATTTCGTACACGATGCCTTCAATACGCCCTGTCAAGTACTGTACGGTGTGTGGTGGTACTATGTGCTTGTGCATTGCTTGAAAACAATAGGGGAACATACACCAACAAGACCGACTGGGAAAGGTGGAAAAAGAAAAAAAATAAACTAATCCACCTGCCGCGACGCGGAGCCACCTGTTATTACGCTTTTCTTGCGGCGATTGGCGGAGGTGGCGATCGCAACCTTGCAACGGGTGGCACAGGTACCGCACGGTGTATTAAAATTGGTTTCAACCTTGATTCTTTGTCTCTGTTTTAAACCAATACCTTGCGTTTCGGTACATTGCAGCGTTTATGATTAATTAATTACAATATAATTGCTGCCATGCTATTAACATTCTTTATTAATGGACGTAATTAAACATACGTTGTCTAGAACCGATGAAAACACGCGGTCGATTTAAATGGCTCTTCGTATTACACTGTATTACACAGACTGGCGGAACCGAATGAGATTGGTGATGCGCATTCTACCAATCAAAAGGCGCCCTTTGTGCACCTGCAGTAGTATGGACATGGTTGTTTGAACCCACAAGTAGGCTCAGCGGATGTAAAAAATAATTTCAAGATAATTTCTAGTAGCACGTATGATGACACACACGTGTACCCGTTGATAATCAGGAGACTTTTTAACCTAAATTATAAGTTTGAAAGCAAAATAAATATTATAATTAAATATCAATCTGGAACAAAGAAAACGAAATGTAACAAAGGGCTTATGAATCAGAGTTAATTGAAAAGGTATCAAACGATGATATTGAAATGAAACTTTCTATAATGTAATCAGATTATACATATATCATTTATAAATGTATAGTTTTTAACCGACTTCGAAAAAGGGGGAGATTATTCAGTTCGACATCTATAATATTTTGTTTTTCTCTTTAATGTCTGTTACCCGATTATGCTGAGTTGGCTTGACTAATCAGGATGAAACCTCTTGTATCTTGTAGAACATGTCTCCCAGTTTGTCCCGTTATCATGACATTTCGCGATTTGTCATTTCTCTCCGGTTTTTTTTGCAAAAAACCGGAAAATTTTCTACTGCTTCTTACTCCGAGACGGATAGATCAGTCGAATTGAAACTTCTTGCATCTGGTAAAGCATCATTGCATCAAAACAAAATTTGACTGGTTTATTTTTTACCCCTTTTATCACAAAAAGAGTACTACATACATGAAATATTTATATATACGATATATACGATAAAGCCTACAATTATTTATATTAAATATTATTTATAATATAATATTTATTCAATATGTAGAACAGAATATTTTTTCCGAATATAAAATACGCTATTTAGAATTGTAAATTAATATTAATTAATTAATTAATATTATTATCCCAGATAGCACCGGACGTCCCATGGACGTACAGAGAACGTTCTGGGAATGTCCACACCGAACGTCCCAGGGACGTACAGAGAACGTTCTGGGAATATCCACATCGGACGTCCCAGGGACGTACATAGAATGTCCACGCCGGACGTCCCAGGGACGTCCTACGATGTAACTGGGACGTTCCAGGGACGTTCACACGACGTTCAGGGGACGTTTGGACGTTATCTAGACGTCTATAGGACGTTTAGAACGTCCAATACCAGGCGTCTTATGGACGTACATAAGACGTCCCTGTGCTATATGGCAGAGATGGGCAAAATCTTTATCTAAATAAAAATTTTCAATATCGAATAAAGATGAAAAATTATTATCACTTACTCGTCGAATAAAGATACATAACTTTATCTTTATTCGATGACTGCTGAATAAAAAAATGTATTCGAGGTAAATGTACTCAAAGGATAAAGATAACTAAAATTATTTTTATCCGAAGGTTAAAGATACCTGCTTTATCTGCAGAAAGTTTCAATCGTAAGATACTCTTCGCACTTTTAACTTTATCCGACGGGTAAAGATACCTGCTTTAACTGCAGAGAGTTTCACTCGTTAGGTAGTTTTCCCATTTTTAACTTTAACCGACCGCTAGAGATACCTGGTTTCTCTCCAAGAGTTTCAACCCTAAGATACTTTCCCGCATTTGTATCTTTATTCGATGGCTAGAGTTGACTGGTTTCTCCCCGAGAGTTTCAATCCTAAGATACTTTTCCGCATTTGTAACTTTATTCGATGGCTAGAGTTGACTGATTTCTCTCCAAATAGCCTACGGATATTTATCCGTAGGTTATTTTCGCATTTTTATTTTTAACTGAAGTTTCACTCATCGCGTGGGATAACTTTCTTACTTTTATCTTTATCCGAAATTATCGAATAAGGATCGAATAACTTTTCAAGCGGTGTTTACTGTTTAGTCGCCGGTTTTAAAGTATAGTTATACATAATTACACATAGTTAAATAGGTATAATGTAAACAAATTTATACAGGAGTAAGGAAGTATATATTTGTGCATATAGACGTGTACTGTAGATATAAATTATGGTCTTTTTAAATGTTTATTTATCTATTGTTATTGTAAAATTCCTGTTGCTCATTCATTTCCCTCAGCAATGTTCCAATGTTTATGCTCAAATGTTCTGGTTTTGAATGGAACCAGTTAGCGGCGCGCCCCTTCAGTTTTGAGCTAATTAGTACTCTTGTAGCTTTGTCATCTAGCTCGTAGCTACTTTGCACCAATTGCACTTGCTGCTCCCAATTTTGGTATGCGCCGTCGCGACCATCAAACTTACACAATAAGTCGCTAATCGCCCGTACACTTATACTAGCCGACAATGCACTTCGATTCGAAGCTTCAGGAATTCCTGGGCTAGCTGTCAATTGGTGGTTCGCAACGGCTCCTTCGCGACGGAGAATTTCCAGCTCCCGCTGCAAAAGCTCTCACTCCTTCCGCATCAGCTCCAATTCCAGCGCCTGCAAGTCACCTTCATTGCATCGGTGGTTTCGATCAGGCTGTTCTGTTGGGACCTCTTCTTCTTCTGGCTGGTGTCGCTCGTCCCCTGGCAACGGCTGGTGCTCTGCTCGGAGCACGGTCCAAATCTCGGGGTCAGAATTCTCTAACCTTCTAATCAACTCTGCTTTTGTGCCTGACACGGCCATATTCCGCCCTTTTAAAAAGTCTTTTAATTCGCTGATCGTGTATTTTCTTCGTCAAATTTTCTTTCTCCTCTGTTTCTCTCTTCTCTAGTCGGTCGTAGTTCTTACAATCTCCTTTGATACAGGGTCTCCTGGAAAGACCATCGGCGTTTCCATGCGCCTTTCCTTCCCGATGGCGAATCTCGAAGTCGTACTGCTGTAATCGCTCGATCCAACGAGCGACCTGTCCTTCGCCTCCTTCTCCTTCTCGGGTTTCTTCTTCTCGGCGGCCGGTTCGCCCAGGCGAATCTCCGGCTTGCCGGGAAGGCACAACACATTCTGGGACAGATCGATGTTGCAACGGTGTTTTCCCAAAAAGGCTGTTCCCAGAATGCACTTCTCCACCATGTCGACGATGTAAAAGTATTCTACGGTCGAAAATCCTCCAATGTCGACTTCCAAACTCTCCTTGCCGTAGGCCTTAATTTTCTTGCCAGTAGTGGAACGAATGTTGAGTCTTGTCCGTATGATGTTCTTCGATGGACATAATTCTTTCTCCAAAAGATTAACGGGAGAACCCGTGTCTAAAATAATTCTACAGGGCTTTCCGCCAATTTTTCCACATACGTACGTCTCCTCCTTTGGAATTTTCGGACCTCCAGTCGCCTCCTGCATCGTCGTACTCTTGATGACCGGGGGACTGTTATTCCTGGTTCGGCGTCTCCCCCTTACGCCGTCCTCTTCTCGTTTCCCTGAAAAGGTTTCCTCGAACCTGTCGTTCCTGCCTGACCGTTCTTGGCCTTGTAGCAATCCTTTTGAAGGTGTCCGGTCTTGCCACAGAGCCAGCAGGTAATCCTCGGCACGTCGTTGATGCGTTCTTCAGGTCTGTCGGGCCTACTCCTCTTTTCCGGGAACACCGGGAACATTGTAAAATAATTAAAGGGTTTAGCCTTCCGTTTCTCTGGGAATCTTTCTCGTGACTCAACCGTCGAACTACGCGACATTGCCTCGACAACCTCGATTTCGAGAGCTCTGGTGACGGTGGCTCTTAGAGATGTAAACCGGCCGAGTCGCAGTTCCCGCTACATAACGGAGCTCGACAACGCTGATACAAATTGAGAGGCGGCGAGTTTATCACGGGTCTCCGCCGGGCAATCGGCGAACGCGGATTGAGCTAATCGTTCTATCTTCGTGACGAGTGAGGTGATGCTCTCATCTCTCCTCTGTTTATGGCTTTGGAAAAGGACATAGTTCAAATTTGAGAGATTTTTCGCTCCGTAGCGAAATTCAAGCGCCGAAACAAGATCTGCGAAATTTTCACATTGGGCAGCGGAGAGCGTCGTGAGGACGCTCCTCGCCGACCCTCCTAAAGACGCGATCAAGGCTGTAGCCTTTTCCCTGTCACTCTACCCGTTAACGCGTGCGATGGTCTCAAATTGAATTTTATACTCTTCCCATGAAGCTTTCCTGTAAAAGATGGTCGGTTTTACTGCGTACCCCAAGTTAAACACGCGGGGTCGATCTAACAACGGCGAGGCGTGGGGCGCCCCGACGAAAGGGGTCACTGCCGGGCAAACACTATTTACATTATTTACGCAATTAGCACTCTCTATAACCGGCACTGTTTCCACAGACCGAGGATTCGTGTCGCCACTACCCGAACAATAGCTGTTTTCTATTGGAACAGATACGACCTGAAAACGTTCTTCGATGCTGGCCAGTCGCGTCTCGAAGGCCGCCTGTATCCACCGGTCCTCGGCGTGCTTCTCCCTCCTCCGAGCTTCATCCTCCCTTCGTTGCTCTTCCATTTGTCCAACGATGATCCGCTGGAGGTCGGTGAACATCTTCTGCAGGAAAGGCTCGGGCGTCGATTGAGGAGAAGGTTCCGTGGATACCGCGAAAGCGCGACGCAGCCGACCACTACGAGTGGGCATCCCACTTCTGACACCAATGTTGCGTTTCGGCATAATGAATAAACACAAACTTTAATAAATAACAACCAGCTTTACAATAGAAATGTGTACAATAGGAATGCGATTAAATATAGCTTCGAAACGTCTGCTCTCAATGACGTCTTGCTCGAATCTGACAGCTTGACAGGCGATCGATCCGATCGCCTTCTTTTCGCTGTCTTCATGTTCCGGTCGCGAACACCAGCAGGCCTTGGATCCATCCAAAGGGTGCTTGCAACAATATATATATGATAATACAGGGTGTCCTAGCCTTAGTGATACAGCGCTCTAACTTCAAAACTATCGCCCGAATACAAAATTTCAAA